CTGGGAAAACTGGGAAAATCTGTACTGGGAATACTGGGAATGTCTGTTCTAGGGAAAAAGTTGGGAAAGTCTGTCTTGGGAAAAACTGGGAAAATCTGTCCTGGGGAAACTGGGAATATCTATACCGAGAAACTGGGAAAACTGGGAAAATCTGTACTGGGGAAACTGGGAATGTCTGTTCTAGGGAAAAAGTTGGGAAAGTCTGTCTTGGGAAAAACTGGGAAAATCTGTCCTGGGGGTGGGGAATGGGGAACTCGGTCCTGGGGGAGCTTTTCCCATAACAAATCCCGGAGTTCGGGCGATTTTCCTGACGTTTGCTCCGGGTGGGATTTTTGGGATCCCCGGGGGTTTGGGGGTGACGGGGCCGGTGTCCCTGGTGGAGGGTGGCACTGCCGGTGTCCCCGCGGTGTCCCCGGGGGTTTGAGGGTGGCAGTGCAGGTGTCCCCGCGGTGTCCCTATGGGTGGTGGCACTGCAGGTGTCCCCGAGGTGTCCCCGGGAGTTGGGGGGTGGTGGCAGTGCCCGTGTCCTGGTGCATGGGGGGGTGGTGGCACTGCCCTTGTCCCCGCGGTGTCCCCCGGGGGTTTGAGGGTGGCAGTACCGGTGTCCCCGCGGTGTCCCTATGGGTGGTGGCAGTACCGGTGTCCCGGTGCATGGGGGGTGGTGGCACTGCCGGTGTCCCCGCGCGGTGCCAGCCGTGCCCCGTGTCCCCAGAGCGGTCCCCTGGCACTCAAGTACCGCGTCCAGCCCTCCTGCCAGCGGCTCCGGCTGTGCCCGGCGCTGCCCTCCGAGGCCACCAACACCAGCGGCGCCTCCGAGTGCGAGTCGGGCAGCGACAAAGCGCAGAGCCCCGGGCTGGCATCGCCCCCCGCCCTGCCCGGGCCCCCCGGGCCCGCCATCAACGGCTCGGCCTCGAACTGTCACCCGCTGGCACCCAATTGTCACCCGCTGGCACCCAATTGTCACCCGATGCCACCCAATTGTCACTCGATGCCCCCGGCCCGCGGCCGCAAAACCGCCCTGAACGGCAGCGCGGGCTCGGCCCTGAGCTAAAAACCCCCGGGGACTCCAAAAAATCCTCCTGGGACTCCGGAAAATCCTCCTGGGACTCCGGAAAATAATCCTGGGACTCTGAGAAATCATCCTGGGACTCTGAGAAATCATCCTGGGACTCAGAAAGACCCTGCTAAAAATCCTCCTGGGATTGCTAAAAATCCTCCTGGAACTCCTGCAGACCCTCCAGGGATCCTCCAGGTTCTCCAGGGATTCCTAAAAGATCCTCCAGGGATCCTACAAACTCTCCAGGGATCTTCAGGATCCTCCAGGGATTCCTGAAAATCCTCCAGGGATTCCTGAAAATCCTCCAGGGATTCCTGCAGGTCCTCCAGGGACTGCTCAAGACCCTCCAGGGATTCCTGAAGTCCCTCCAGGGATTCCCGAGGCGGGGATTCCTTGCAGAGCTCTGTAAATATCTTTGTGTACATAGGGAGACAGAGAGCAGAGTTCTACGGACTTATTTTCTAATTTAAAAACGCAAAGAAGACACAGAAATGGCCGTGGATATTTTTAAATGTGTTTTTTGTTTGTTTGGGTTTTTTTTCTTGTTGTTTGTTCTTTTGTTTGTTTGTTTGTTGTTTTATTTGGGGTTTTTTTGGGGAGTTGGGTTTGAGGTTTGGATTTGGAAGCTGCATGACCCTCCCCATCCCACCCCAATTCCCAAATTTTCCCATTCCCACTCCACCATTCCCCATTTTCCCATTCCCATTCCCCCATTCCCGATTTTTCCCGAGGTTTTTCCCTTTTTTCCTCCTCCTCCCTCCCCACCCGTGGCCGTGGCCGCAGAGCTGAGGGCCGAGCACAGAAACCAAAAACCCCAAAACCCCAGAACGGCCCCTCGGCCTGGCCAGGCTCTGCTGCTGGGTTTTATTTTCAATTTTTGTGCCTTTTTTTGCTGTTTCCTCGGGGGTTTCCCACACCAGCTCGGAGTTGCAGCAGTTCCAGCTGCTCCTGGATCTCACCCCAGGCCTATTTTGGGGGATTTCTTTGCTTTCCCTGTGGCTTCTGGCCGCAGTTTTGGGCTGAACCTCGCACGGACTCTGCCCTTCTGCACAATAAATTCGGGTTTTTTTGGGGCCTTTTCCTCCAGCTCGGTGGTGGCAGCACAAAATCCCCCGGAAGATTTTCTCTCCCCCGAGGTCCTGACGGCTCCAGGGAAATTTGGGGGGCGCCCAAACTTTTGGGATGGAGCTGGTCCCTGCTCCCCGTGTTCCCCAGAGTTGGTTTTTGTTTGTTTGGGTTTTTTTTTTTTTTGGTGTCTCGTCCTTCCCACCCTCTCCTTCTGCCCTCACAGTGCGTTTGTAATAAAAGGAAATGTGAAAAAAAAAAATCAGATTGATTGACCCCATTTTCTCCCTGTAAATAGGGCTGGGGACACTGC